GGGGGGGGGGGGAGAGACACAATAAAATTAGATATAAAGGTTTACTCTCCTTCCTTATAATTTTAGAAATGAGAATCATTCAATAAAGCTGACACGGTCAGCTTAATTATATATTAATAATAATAATAATATGTAAGACACCGGCAAATGGTCAAAGACATTACAATCTTCATTAGCCAATTTCGGTAACTTTACAATGGAATTGAATGACGAGGAACAAGGTCCTATGACCCTCAATCAGAGGTATTCAGCCGGTTCAGACTGGTTCGGGCGAACCGGTAGTGACACCCTGGCTCTATGCCATCCTATTTACCCACGTTTTCTAAGCCGTGTGCATGCATGCAAGCCACGGCATGAGCAAAGCGCATGTGCAGAAGGCCGCATACATGCACAAAAGGCGCACAACGCTTATAAAGCAAGTGCGTGCGTGCGGGACAAACCAGTGGTAAACTTATGTGAAACCCACCTCTGCCCTCAATATTACTTAATGGAGAACAAATCCCAGCAGCTGATGCTTATGGAAAACTCCAAAGCAGAACACAGAAACTTTAGGATGCTGGATGAGATAAGTTTTTTCCGGACAGAAAATCAGATTTTTAGGTTCTTAACAAAGATTGCCACTAGGAATTGTCTTCTGCCATTCACAGCCATGAGAGAGAGTGCAGGTTGCTTTGTGGTGCAATATGAATCAGTACAGCTGGTCCTCGACTTACGACAGCAATTGAGCCCAACATTTATGTTGCTAACTAAATTTGTTCAGCGAGTTTTGCCCCATTTAAAAACTTTTCCTTATCCCGTTTGTTACGTGAATCACCGCAGTTGTTAAGTTAGTAACACGGTTACTAAGTGAATCTGGCTTCCCCCATTGACTTTGCCTGTCAGAAGGTCACAAAAGGGGATCACGTGACCCAGGGACACGGCAACCGTCGTAAATGTGAGTCCGTTGCCTAGCATCCGAATATAAATCATGTGACCTTGGGGAATGCTGCAATGGTCATAAGTGTGAAAAAATAGACATGAGTCACTTTTTTCAGTGCTATTGTAACTTCAAACAGTCAGTAAGTGAACTGTTGTAAGTCGAGGACTATCTGTACAGTGCAATGCTGAGGTCCAAGAGGCAAGGAAAATGTCTTCTTCTTATTATTTGATAGCTCATTAGTAACCTTGACTATCACTAAGTGTTGTATCTTTTTATTCTTGATGAATGTATTTTATTCTCCTTATGTACACTGAGAGC